GKRMCATTTTATCTATGAAACACTGCCAGCCCCTACTAAGGACAGTAATTTGATATATCTACCAACAAATCTATTTTTAGGCTGTGGATGCTGAGTTCATCCTGCCCGGATCTTGAAGCTTCACTTACTTTCTGTTTCATTTCGCTTGATCATGCCTTGGCATTCAGCTAAAATAGTCTCTTTAAAAGATGTCACCAGGGCATTGACGCAGCACTCCATTAGCTGAAACACATCAAACACAGGATTAGCTCATGCACCCATGGAATTCCAGAGTTGGTTCATCTCAATTTTGCTGTGACACAAGATCTAGCCTGCTCTCATCAACTATGGCACATGCAATAAATAATCCTGATAGGGCTTGATTCATAAAATCGTAGTCTGAAGTCTACACAGGATTTCTTTAAAATGCAGGCCAATAGATATAGTAAATTCTTCCAAACTACTAATCAGCTTAACATTTCTGTAGCCTCTTTTTGTCAGGGGAGCTATCACTTTTGGAACATTAACTACCCTACTTGGTTTCCAAGTATATACTCAAGAGCTAAGAATAGTGCTCATTCCAGCACACCCTATTTGGACCAGGCTGGTTGGCTTGAACAGGCCATTAAGGTTAGATCTAGCACAGAAACTGCTTCAACAGGTCAGAAGCAGCTCTGTTTGTCAGTCCCCTTTACGCAGGTTGCAACTGCACAGAAACAAGTCATTTACAACTTAACACAAAATAAATGTAATCCATTACAACATAGACAGTTGTGAACTACTTGCTGAAGCTAAATCTTCCTTCACCTGGACCTATGTAAAGTATTGCTTCTTAGGATTATAAAATATAAATAATCTTTTGAACTAAATTGTTATGTTTAAGTCTAGGAAAGGCGGGAATGCAGAAAAGGTCTAATAAAATTCTCATTTGTCCCTCTGACTGCAGTAACCAGTAGCTTTCAGACATTCTAAATTAGCAGCAAAAAAAACATTTACCTGCTACGTTGGTCTGTAAATCCCGCCTGCCTCAAAATGTAAAAATAACCTGAATAAAAATCTGCCCTTAAAGCCAAACTTCAAACAGTCTTTACAACTAAAACATCAGTAGAAGTTTTAAATTGACAGATTGGAAACTAACACAAATTTAGAAATTTGTATTTCTGTGGAATATAGCAAATGGTTTTAAAACAAAGTTTCATATTAATTTACTGTAATCAACTAATAGTGTAACATACAATATTATCAAACTGCAATTCTAATAAACTAGGTAAACGCATAGTTTCTTTCTGCACTACCATACTTACTGCTTCTACAGAGTTACATTCACGCCTCGTTTCTAAATACCGTAGTGCCCTTTTCTCTTCTTCTTTTAGTTTAGCATCTGCCTGTGCAAAAGTAGAACAATAATCACTTTAAGCACTAACACACGGAGAACAAAAATTGACAGTGTTTTTACTTACATATTTCATATAATTCTGTACACCATTTTGTTGTAAATAAGAAGGAGCCTGTGTTCTATAAAATCTCTCTGTTGAATCCAAATATGCCTTTTCAAAGTTATCCCGATAAATCTGAAGTTTATCTTCAGGATTAGAACAAAGGTTAACTGCAAAAAAGAAAGGCCAAACTCACTCTCATGTCTTAGAAATTTATGTGGGTAAATAATAAACAAACCTCTTCTCACTATAGKGAGTTTTTATTGAAATATTGTATGGAGAAATTTCAAGAATCCTACAAATGTACTCTGAAAAAAAAACAACAAAATCATCCAATATTGGCAAGTCATTCCTTTAAAAGGATCTTAAATTAATTATAGGGACATAGGAAGAACACTATAGATTACCCCAGAGTTTTAGATGTTCAAAAATGGTAACCAAAAATACACAATCAAATACAGTTGCAAAAGTAATAAGTTAAAGGAAAACAAAGCAAAACAAAAAACAGCTCAGCACAATGCCTAAAAAAGCAAAAGCTTCTGCATGTTATTGAGCAATCCAAATTTCTTGGACATATTCTTAGAATCCCAGCATCTTCTGAGATTCTAGGCAATTTTCCTGTACTTGAGATTGAAGTATCACAGAAGTCCAGATATAAAGAACTATCTTTTGCAAAGCAGAAAGACTTGAAGTCTCAGACACAGGCTGCTAAGCATTCCTTCTTCAAACCTGAAGTCTGAAGAAGCAGGGACAGCACCATGAGGAACACGGCCAGATCACTTCTGCAAACATAAAACATCCAAAAGGTATCTGCTCTTTGAAAACACTGATTTTGCAGAAAATTACCAGTAGCAAAATCATGCCAAGTTAAAAGATATTTTACAACAGAATTTAGCTGGCATCACAGGTCAACAAAATCAATATAAAATGCTGATATAATCCTTCCAATGTTACCACCCCAACTGTTACATGCTGAAAGTTCATTTACTCAAGTGAGGCTGTCTGTGCAGAACCTACCATAGGATTCTCGAACTCCAATAACAAGTTGAGAGTCGAAAGCTTCTCCTAGTCTTTCAGCATGAACTAACTTCATTGCACTGTCCTGAAGTCTGTTTTTTATATTTGAAAATATGGATTCATTCCATGTATCCAGCATGAGCTACATAAGAGGAAGAAAAACAAAATCCTGTCAGAAAGGGATATGCAGACCTAAGTTTGTACAAATGAAATATAGAAGATCAGAAATAGAAACCAAGCATAAGTTTTCACTTATATGAAACAGTTCAATTATTTGAGAATTAGATCTTGCTATATCTGACCTGTAATAGAAGTAAAATTCAGCTTATATTCTAAGATAACTTTATAAAACTGGACAGCTAGAGAAAGCAATCACTATTTGCTTCAGATACTATTCCATCATTCTGTTTTATTTCTACAGCTCTTCATAACAAGTCAAATAACTTTTAACATMTCTAGCAACAGAATATGTTACTTTGGAATCAAGCATCCAAATATAGCTTGCCATTTACCAGTCCACATCTTAAATAAGATGAAAACTCAACACAAAACAGTTGTGTAAAGAAATAAGTCTATGTTTTGGGGTTGCATTAACGAAATACGAAAGTTTTAAAGTACCGCAATTATAATTGATAAGTAACTCCAGATCTAAGTGTTGCAAAGTTTTAAGGCCACTCAGAGTGGTCTCTAACAAAATAATCACCTTGAAAGGATCATTCCATATTTCACTGTATGATTTTTGAATGATTGCTACTAACATTTCTGCAAAAAGGGTTACACCTGATCACCAGACCCAATGTGCTGCAGCTGAGGAACACTAAAAGCTCCCTGACAAGTCACACTTATGCCCCGCTAAGCTCCACCAGCTGTTAGTAATAAATATTCTAAGCACACTACATGTTTGTTAAAGTCTTCATTCTCTTCTGAATTCAAGTTACAAGAGACCTTTCCCCCACCTTAAACCTTGGAGCTCCTTCTTTCTGTCTGTTACTGAATACCTGGGGAAATTATGAAAAGTTCAGAAGATCAGTCTTAAAGTTTACAGCAGAGTTAAGAGTTCAAGTTAACCAAGACTTGGAGAGCCTAACAAAAGCACGGGCTTTCTCCAAGAAAAAAAAAAAAAAAAGACCAGAATAAAGCAAGTTGAAGTGGTGATTCCTCTTATTGCTGATGTTCTCTCTTCCTTTTCTTCAGAAGGTATACAGTTCAAGATGCCAAAATGAGGGGAAGGAAAGAATGAATCACCACAAGTTGGCCTGCTTAGCTATTTTGCTTCTCCTGGCCATCCTGAAGACAGTTAATATGATCTTTGATACCAAACAGAAGATTGCTAAAGAACTTTTATTGCCCTACAGATAATTTCTGTCATGAAAATGAATAATGAAAGGTGTTGAACTAAAGGACAGACTTTGGAGGGAGAAAGGAGTACTTTGGCGACCAAGAGGCATATTTAGCTTGAGATAACAGTATTAGGTTGTTTGTAATTGCAATTTAGAGACAAAGCAAGTTAAGATTTGGCCTAAGGAATGTCAGGTGCAGAAATACTAATCTCATTACGAGTATAGAAGCAGTAGGTACTGAGTGAATTGCCACTCTACCCAAATTTGTCAGAACTATTTTAATAACTTCATTTACTTAGTTTTACATAAAGAATACTGCTTTAATCACCCATGTCAATAGGCAAAACTGGTGAAGCAACAGACTGAAATTGTTGTAGCGAGGAATAATCAAGTTGCAAGGTTGTTATTCTGACCCTCACACTGAAGCAAAGCAAGATGCAGCGTCAGAGAACTGGAGCAATCTCATCAGCAGCTGGAGAAGACCTCCCGTACCGGAGCTGGAGGCAGACCAGGGGGCAAAGCCTTTCACTCACCTTGCGGACAATACTGTCYTCCACATTAGATTTCTTGTTGCTGCCCTGCTTGCCCATGAGGGTGATCTCTAACTGGCAAAAGGGCTTGGGCAGAATATCGCACTGCGTGAAGAACTTGCGCCACTCCACTATGTAGGCCTTGAGCAGGGCCGTATCGTCCTGGTGGCTCAGCACTCGCTGCAGGGGAGGAGGGAGAGGGCAGGTCAGTCACAAACAAGCTTCTGCAGAGAGCACAAAGTACAGATCCACTTCTCTTACTGAAGATATTTTCCCACGTTAGATGCAAATACACGGATATGTTAGAATAAGAAGGTTTACATATTCAAATGCCATTTAGTTWATTTTACAGCAGTGGTTATTAGCCAGTAGCATGTGAACCACTTCTAACGGGTGGTGAAAGGTGACAGCAAACCAATCACCATCAGGCGGAAATTTTCCAGCTGATTTTTTGTTTTTAAGCCATCTGCAAGTCAAAAGGGATTAAAGCTTTAGGTCCAAAAAGCCTGTAGCAGTACAGGCTTGAAATATATTACCAAAATAAATAAATAATAAAAGGATTATAAGGATTATGCTTTATTATATACACTAATAACTTTAGTTCAGTGACATCTACTAACCTCCTATTAGATATATACATAGCTAGTTAAAGCTTGTACTTCAGTAACGCCTGGAGGCCACTATGTTGCACTATAGTTATGATAATGCCTAAAAAATAAAATTCTGTAGAAGAACAGGAACCACAGAGCACCTCAGAGGCTCCAGCTCAGCAGACACTCACACAGGCAGACACTGAAGGCAGCTGATGGACATCACATCAGCATCTGAATGCCTGGCTGTATCAAGGCCTCCTCTAAAAAATCATATATTCCTTTGAACAAATCTGTAAGGAGATCTTTTCACTAAGCAAAGATTTTAATCAATGAAGCCTTTTGCTTTCTCCTTTCCAAACCTTTGTCACGAATATCCTTTTTTATTTTACACCAGTTTCCTCTTAAATCCCTTATGCCAGACAACACCCTTTGCTATACATTTGGAAAACAGAGGAATTGAGTTTGGAACCTTCTGATGCAGTTGGTTATTTGGGAGAGGCCCATAAAGCTGCCTGCTGAGCTTGCCAGCCTGACAGTCCAAGGAGCTGAAAATGCAACTTATTCTCAAGCCATCTCAGTAGAGGAGCACTGAGCTATACAAAATAATAAAAATGTTTCCTTCCYTAGAAAGGATAGTTTTCAGACAGTAAATTTTGCCTCAAGAAAGGGCTTCAATTGAAAGATGATTCTGTAAGTACTGTCGGGTAAAGAAAAATAATGTTGTATTTTTAAAAACATATATATGATGCTGCAGTAATTGCCATTCTGGTTTCAAGAATTGTGAGAAAACAATGAAGCAAGGAAAATGCTCAAGGCCTAAGTTTTCCTTTTGCCATTAAAAAGCTGCAAGGTACTCATGAGCTCCAGAACATCATAAAATATCAACCAAACCAAAGCACAAAAACAAGGCATTTGGATGCAAGGAGGATCTGAACTGTTTGCCCCCCTCCCCACTCCAGTGACAGGAGCAGAAGTTATGACGGGTCAAGGACTTACTGCTTGTGCTTGCTTAATAAAATCCAGGATGTCTTCCTTCAGAGCCTGATGGATCTTTGCGGGACCTTTATCATCCCATAGGCAAACTGCATGTACATCTCTAGAAAACAATTTATCCACCTTTTAGTTAGAACTAAGCAAAGTTTAATGCAGTTACGTACAAAGTTTGAAGAGCCATAATTTATGCAAGCCTAAGAATATAACCTGTGTTCTATTTATCACTGTCAAACAATATGTGATCAGGCCTCAATAGCACATGCAAAAAACTATTCAGAGAAATGGTAAAAGCTGTAAGAAAATTTGGTAGGCAAGTGAAGGCAAACTCTCTATGCATATAGAAACAATATGTTTCTATACATATAGAATATTATGTATATTATACATATTCAGTAATCCTTATTGTACTAAGGACAATTGTTAAAGTTTTTGACTAAGACATAAATCACTTGCCAGCAAAAGCACTGCTACTCAGACCATATCATTCTGAAATACTGTCATTAGGATGCAGCCTTCACCCAGTTTCCTTTACTCAAAGCACAAATTCCTTGTGCTACAAAGGAAACCAACCTTCTTTGTAAGAAATTTGAGCTCATGGGTATCAGGTAATTTAAAGGAGCTTTAATTAGTTTAATAAGATCACTTTAACATTTCATGACATTGGTAGCTTTTTGAAGTGCAGCTCCACTGCAGAAGAGCTACCAAAGAGCACCACAAACCAGGCCTCTATTTATGAGTTTTAATCAATATGCAAATGCAGTCCTGGTTCTCCTAGCTGGCAGCTCAGCAAGTCTAACTCCTATGGTATTTCCTTACTAAAGGATATATAAAGCAAGTTACACTTTTAATTATATTATCACATATAACATGACCTGCCAAGCCTTTTYTGAGTCATTACTTTCTGCAGCTTTTCTTTCCTTTCTCAGTAATAAGGCAATGCCTTTGTGGGAAAGCAACCATATGATCTAAAGGTATGGCTTTGTTCCTCTTAAAYCAAACACAGTTATTTCAATATAAAAGCTACTTTTTTCGTTTAGCTTAAAAGACAAGTTTACAAGATTAACAAAAGGTAGTTCCTTTTACACTAACAAAGACCTATAAAGGCCTAGCYAGCTTGTGAGACCTGAGGAACTTTCAGTGCTGGTGGTGCAGGACAAGCAGTCACCAAGGAAGACTGGGGGATTGTATCCTAGTCTAAGAGAGGTACAAGACATCTAGAGCTTTAGATTTTTATTTTTAGGAAAGGTAGTTTTCAAGTGTAACAAAGAACACAGATCAAAAACARGAATCTAGCAGAGTGAGACTCCTCTCATATGCTTTGGTTAGTCATAAAGTTGCTTAAGTTTGACTCAAATTGTTAGCTAGGAAAACAAAAWCCAAGAAAATTTCAATACAAAAGCAGAATTATTTACCTGGTTATTAGAAAATGAAAGCAGTGACTCAGTATTGAATTTGTACCTTAACTCTACCTTGTTTCTGGCAATTACTTTAGCACTGGTATCATAAGATACTAAAACTCCCTACATGCCAAACTGCCTTTCTGTTTGACAAACAGGTGCAGTAAGACAGCTGGGAAGGGAATCACTGCACTGTGCTCATCAAAGCACYGAGAGATGTGCCTGCAATATGACTGCATTTCTAATAAAAATCAACTTTTAGGATTTTTTTTTTTTTTTTAAAGAAAAAAAAAAAGGAAGGGGAGGAGTGAGAAACCACAGATTTAAGCTCTCATTATATTGGGGGGGGGGGGGGAAATAACTATGTTCAGACACAGACTTTTTTAGATATATTTTGGATACATTTGTTGTAATTTACTTTCATTTTCTGTCATTTAATGAACGAGTTAACATGATGTGTGTTATGAAAAAATGTCATCAACTAATAGGAAATGCTGTTGGCCTTTGAAGTACAATAATGCAAAAATATTAAATACAATGCAAAATAATTAAAAATATTATATAAGCTACTTTAAGGTATTAACTTATTTATGTTTAAATTGTATTACCATTTTACTTCGGTGGTATTTTTAGTTATTTTCAACAATATCCCTTTAAACCACCCTAGTATAACACGTGGCAGACTATGTTTACACAAATTTACTACCAAAGCAGCAAACAACATTTTATTTTAGCAACGGCAATAGTTTATTCTAACAAAAATCCCATAGGCAGATACAAAACTTCCGTACTACGATCAGATAAGTCTTTGTGAGAAGGTACAAGACTTGCTTACTGTGATCAGCTGCAGTCCTAAGCTCTACTACTCCATCTCCAGCCTATTTGCAAAGCTCTGAATCTAAGTAAAATACTTTWAGACATTTACAGAGACTAACACGACTGAAACTGAACAAAATATTACTTCTTTTTTGTGTATTCCTGCACAGTCTGTGTCATTTGACTTCTGTATTAGAATTAATACCTGTATTGCTACTATGTAGAGAGTGCAAGCTAATAAAAAATTACTTACGAAAACAGATCGAACCACTGCTGTTTTGTGACAGATTCCTGACGGAGCAGCTTCAGGACAATAGGGCGCATGAAATCCCATTTGTCTTCAAACTGAAGTGAACCTTTATTCTAAAAGGAAAAATAAAATAAAAAAAATCATAAGCAAAACCTGACCTCTACACCTTGGCATCGGTTAACGTCTGAAGTACTTTGCTTCTAAAACTACTTTTGACTCAAGCTAAAATAAATAAATAAGTAGCAAGAGGACACAATACTTCAATACAACTTGTCAACTTCCCTCTTTTACATTCATTTTACGATCTGAGGGGCTCTAATTCACTAGATAGCTGAAAAAATCCATTTTCTAAATTAAGGGATTTCTTTACTTTAGATGGTTGACCAGCAGTAACTTGCACATACCCACTATGAAGAGTTAATATGGAAAGTGTTAATAAATCAGTTTACTGAAGTTAATCTTGAAGGACTACAGTTTTTAGGCATAGGAAAACTATCTTTTCTGCGGAAGTGTCTTGTATAACCTGGCGTTTGACCKGTATTCACAGTACCAAAGTCAACAACAATTTCCACAGTATTATTTTAAGAAACAGAACCAAAAATAGAATTTTAAGAACCAGTATGTGTTCCTCAGAGAAGCAGACTGCAMGTTTCTTCCCTCACTGCCTGCTCCCCTCGCACACAACCCATTCCAGCAGCGTTTTCCTTCTGCACATGGGCATCCCTTGGGGCTGACGCRTTGGCACCGTGAGGGCTGCTCGGGGAGCTCCGCGGCGGCAACCGGCACTGCACGACACCGGCACAGAGGCCGGGCCACAAAACCTGCCTGGAATAAATGTCAGGACGGAACCAGAGGGCAGGAACGAGGAGAACCCCCCTGGACGCCGCCACGTGCTGCCTTCTCTCTTCGTGCTGCCTTCTCTCCTCGGTGGCGAAGAGGTAGGAAGGAATCAGGGTAATGTAGGAGCCATGTGGCAACGGACACCCTTCCTGTGGGGTAACTGGCTCTTGGCTGCGCGGGGCTCAAAACATTATTTTTCCTGTGGAATAAATCATTCGGTGCAATGGATTTCTTCAAATTCACTACACAAACTAAGAGGAAGCTGAARGAATCAAGCGCTCCGATGTTACTGTCATTATTCATATTATATAGGCTGACTTCCATTAAAAAAAAAAAAAAAGCCTTAAAGAAAAACAACAGTTTTATTGCATGTGCAGCAATCCTATTTGCTTATGGCTCTAAATTTAAAAKGGAAAATGTTAATAAATAAAAGTTGGTTGGGGGTTTTGTGACAGAAAGACTATTGGTGAGGTGATCTCAGTGTGCTGGCACAACACATTGTTTCTCTTACACACACCATTGTCTTTCTCATTAATACTAAATTTAACACAATTTACTCTGAACATGGTAAAAAAATAAAAAATACATTCTAATTACTTGAAAATCTGCCAGGTGCACTCTCCTGCCATATCTCCTTAGGCAGGAAAGTATGAAGAGCCTGTCATATTCTCTAAACCACCTTCTTCTGAGTTGTCATACATGGAGATCTATAATTAAAYCTGCTGTTCAATATTCAGTATCCCCTGCTGCTCTCAAGTGCAAAGACATCTTGGCTTTACATTACCAGCGTGCACCACACAATACCTATTTTACCTGTTTTTGCTGCAATAGTATCTGCAGACCCCACAGCACCATCGGACCTCTGTGGTGGGTGCTGCGCATTGGGTAATGCTCAGCATTACCTCCTTGAGCAAACTGCTTGAGTGCAATTCAAGGRGACAGTTTTGCCTTTTTTCTTTCTCTGGGAGAGAGGGAGGGGGAAAAAAGACAGTCTGAATGCCTCTTCTGTAGAAACCACTGGCTGCAGGCTTCCCCAACAGRGCCGGATTTACAATTACTCCCCAAACTTTGATGACTGCCTCTCATCTTTCCTATTTCTGTGAAAACAATTAATCTCTGCTTGAAACATTTCTGTTGCCAGGCCCCTTCTGCAGGATAATGATCCTGTCTGGAACCTGCTCACCACAGAATCTCAGGAGGGTTGAGGTTGGAAGGGACCCCTGGAGATCATCCAGTCCAACCCCCTGCTCCAGCAGGGACACCCAGARCACGGGGCACAGGGTGGCAGCCAGGCGGCTTTGGAAGATCTCCAAGGAAAGAGACTCCACAACCTCCCTGGGCAGCCTCTTCCAGGGCTCTGGCACCCTCACAGGGAAGAAGTTCCTCCTCACATGGAGACGATACCTCCTGTGCTTCAGCTTATGCCCATTATCCCTTGTTCTGTTGCCGGCGACCACCATGGCCACCACCTCTTTCAAGCTACCACAAAATAAATAACACCAAGTTCCTCAAAAGCCTTTCTTTGCGATGGGACTTCAGAGAGTAGATCCCGTAACTTTTCTAGAAGAGGTGAAAAGCCTGTTCTACAGTTCTGGAAAAGTGACAGAGCATTCACTGTGCTCAGTGCTTTGCTGAGCACAAGGGAGGATAAAACCGAGTGCTCATCATGATGGAGACCGGGTGCATCGTAAAACATGGGGGGGGGGGAGAAGGGGGGGGAGAAGAAACAAACAAACAAACAAAAAAAGTATTTGCAYGTTCTGCTGTTTGCGATACACATCGTGATTAGCTACTAAACTCTACATGCAAAATTATTTCAGCTGTAGAAACAGTATATGCCTAGTTCAAAAGAATTCCCCTAACAAATCCTGGCAAAAAAATGCCATAGTAAAGTTTCTAACTTTGGAAATTGAATCATCTATAGGAAGCACTAGTTTAACAGAAGTATTTTTACACATTCTCCTTCATTCTCAAATTGAACAGGAACAAAGCTGCTGGATTGAAAAACCCACTATACTAAACTATTCCTTAATCTCAATAAACAATTCAACGGTTTGCAAGCAGGGTTTGCTTTCACAGCCACTCACCTTACACACTTCTCTTGCAACCATGAGCAAGGGAAGGTGCCTAAGGTGACATCTTGGGTGTCACTCACACTTGTTWCCTCTGTCCCTGCCCGTGTTCAAGGTGCAAAGCCAATTTACAGAGGAACAAGAAGTCAGATGGTGCTAATTCCTTGTAGTTACCAAAGCCACACATGCACCAGGGATGAGTAGAACTGAAAAGCCCATTTCCTGCTTTCTTGAGCCCTCTGCACTTTTAACTCACTTCTGAGCACTGTTAGCATCAATGGCAATACCCTAGGTAACAACTCTAGGAATTAAACACTTAATGCTTTGAAAAATAACCTTATTTGTAAAATATCCTTATGTCTCAAAAGTAATTTCACTAAGTTTACTCACAGACATATAAAGTTCCATTCAAATACTTAACTCCACTTGAAGTATATACTATTATTATATGGAAAGGCATGCTACAATGTCTCCTCAGTCTCTACAAACTTTTTCTGTCCTCACTCCTGTACCTAAGCACTTAGTGTTGTATTTTACACAGCGTGCAAGAAACCTCCCAGATGTACATGACCTCCTGGTGAACACGATGTAGCCTGCACRGTAATGCAAGCAGAAGTGCTGCACAAAATGCAGTTTGTAGCGAGTAACGCCCTCAAGWAGGAACTGGGGTTTCATTCCCAGACCCGGGACAAGTCCTGGCAACCTTCACACAACTGGCCCGCCACAGTCCAGAATGTCTCTTTGGACAATGTTTTCCGGAGCAAAACTGCTTTTGTTTTGGTGTTTTGGGATTTTAAAAACTGTGTACTGCCCTTTTTCCTTTTTTTTTTTTTTCCTGGGCAGCATATAAATGTAGTCCTGCTTTAAGCAATACCATAAAAGAAAAGGAAAAAAAAAAAAAAAAAAAAAAAAGACATCCTCTCCATGAAGAGCACACTTCAATAACATTTAACTATTGCATCGCTTTCAGATATTGTATTAAGGCTAGTTCACAGAAGGAAGAAGTAGGAAACATGGGTTCTTAGACTGAACTAAGCATGAAAATTGCATCCGTCTCTGCTACCAGCAGCTCTACAAAAATCAGTGTGATTGCAGTGAAGTTAAGATCCAAAGCAGAAGGCAGACACAGAGAAAGCTTCACTCTGTACTAACCAGAGTGCAATAACTGTTAGGATATACTTAGGATGCTAACTGGAAACAGCCAGGAAAAAACAGACCAATGTAAACCATGGATCTGGAAATATTTACTTGAAGTTGAAGAACWCAAAAATTTCAGACATGTTTCCAGTTGTCAACGACAAAGGCATGAAGTCAAAACAAACAGTTGAAACAAATGGAAAGGTAAATTGTGGTTAATTCAATTAAGCCTACAGAAAATCCCCATCTCGCTTTGYTTCCTCCCTCCCAGCACCAGGGTCAGATTCCCTGGTATTCACTGCTCCATGTGCCAGCACCTCCAGTGAGGCTCCCCAGGAAGGCCGGGAGCTGCTGTCACACACCCAGCGACAGCCTCTCCTCATGCTGCAGCGAGCCGAGCTGCTCTCCCTTCCAGGAACCACRGGAATATCTGCCTATCTTCCTGCCACCTGAGTGGACACGTTTAGAGTATTTTGTCACTGCTAAGTGAACAGGCTGCAAGTCCAACACATCCGCTGAAATGAAGTCTCCCACTTTAAAAAGGCCAAACTCATGTGTATATTGAAAGAAAAACTACTAGGTGGCTAATCCAGGACAGCAGTTCTGCTACAGCTAATACACACACTAGCTTACCCATTTAATGGCTATAACGGCTAACGCTTTCTCTAGAGTGCAGTACTTTGAACACAGGTAAATTTCTTGCGYAAAGTGATTCAACATATGACTCCTAATATTAATTTTGCATTTAAATTAGGAACTCTAAGAACATTCTACAGTTAAGAAAAATCAGGCATTAGTGCATCTCTGAAATGATGATAGATTTCGCTTCAGCTAGCACCGCAGCTAGGAGGGGCGAGGAATATTTCACTTCACTTTCTCAACTASCTAGAAGGTTGAGAGAAGACAGGAGAGAAAAGAAGAGAAAACTCTTGGTTTTCATTTATCCTGGCAAACAACGGAACCTGCCTAAACCTGGCTTACATTTGATAGTGCAGCCAATATGTAAAACACAGAATCACCTCAAGATGTTAACAGTCTCCTCCCTTGGCCCGGGGGGT